CCCCCGACTCCCCACCCTCCCCCAGCCACCCACCCCAAGACAAAAACAAAACGGTGCTCCACATTCAGTCTCCTCAATCCGTTTGACCTGCGCACTCTCCCGCAATTTAAATGCAAATAACGGTTTACTGCTTTCTGAAAATCGCGAAGCGTTTGCCGTCATTACCCGAAGCTTTAAAACCAGCTCCAGAGTTGTCAAAACGACCACAGAATTCCCCTATTCATTCACGAACTTGGCTACCTGCGATTTCAGTTATCCACAAATCCCATATGGAACTTTACATGACTGCTGTATCGTAAAGCGACGAGAGATAAAGCGACGAGAGATAAAATGATGAGGGATGAAGCGATGAGAGATAAAGCGATGAGAGATAAAGTGATGAGAGATAAAGTGATGAGAGATAAAGTGATGAGAGATAAAGTGATGAGAATAAAGTGATCAGGGATAAAGTGACGAGAGATAAAGCGATGAGAGATAAAATGATGAGGGATGAAGCGATGAGATAAAGCGACGAGAGATAAAGTGATGAGAGATAAAGTGATGAGAGATAAAGTGATGAGAGATAAAGCGACGAGAGATAAAGCGATGAGAGATAAAGTGATGAGAGATAAAGTGATCAGGGATAAAGTGATGAGAAATAAAGTGATCAGGGATAAAGTGATGAGAGATGAAGGTAAATTCATTTAAAAACTATTATTTCATCATGTAATATGTATTTTTATTTACTTTATATTTCTTACAACCAATTCTGCGTTACGATAATTCCCCATATATTTAATTGCTTATTTACGTATTAAGTAAGTAATTCAAGCATTCCTCCCGAATAACGAGAGCACACCGTACCACGCACCCCCCCCCCTTCCTCTCACACTCACTTTCCCGCTAAACCCCCAACGCCCGCCCTCCCGCGAGCCCCCCTTCCACAATTTAAATGCAAATAACGGGAGCGAAAACCCTTTAAATCAGCAGCACTCCTGCATGCGCCCGCTTGTAAATTAATTAGGACCTTAATGTGAGAATCCCGTAATGAAATGCGAACCGTTTCACTATTTTTTTTTATTTTAATTGACTTTGGGTGCTAAATGCGTAACGCGCGCATCCACAGCTGGAATAAAAAATAAAAACCCACTTGCACGCACGCGCAAGTGCCCTTAGCCCGTCACAAAGAGGCTCTGCGAGCGTGTGCCAGGAGGAGGCCATTTCCAGAGAGTGACCGTGTCAACACAGGGTGACCCCCCCTGGGCATCTGTAGAAAAAGAGCTTCATAGCTCATCGGGATTTCTCCAGGATAAAGAAAAAAACCATTCTGATTCTGGAATGCCCGAGGAAACGATTGCTATCCGTTCCGCCTTCCCGCCCTCCACGCCCGAGGCACACGGAGCTAACGGGGGACACGCCGAGACCACTCCGCGCGTGTGCGTGTCACCGACTGCCAAATGAATTTCTTTTTTATAACATTTCCCTCCCCCCTCGCCGATGGGTTTCCAGGTTGTACCGCGTGTTGCCCAGCACCGTACCCGACGTTTCGCTCCCCGTGCCGGAGGGGGTCAAGCGGGCAGCCAACTTAAATGTTGTGAGGTCAGGTAACAAAAATCTCCTTCCCCCACCCATGCTGCTTTTGTTTACTGGTAACCGGATGTGAGCGTAGCCTTGCCTTCCACTGGCTTCAGCGTCACACTGCAAGGGAGGCGAATTACTTGGTTCACTGGTGATGATGGGGGTTGCTACGTTTAAGCGTTTAGTTACTCGACTTCAGCAGTGTAGAACTTAAAGCTGACCCTGCCCCATGAGTAAAACCAATTAAGCAGCTGTAATTTTGGCAAATGTCAGCTCTCCCTTCTAGAACATCGCTAGAATTCACAGCACTCAGTGACCAGCATCTGTTTATATAACCGTGTTTGTCTAATCCACATTTTTTTGTTATAATCGTCGGCCGTGGTCAATCCACTGCTGCATGAATGCTTCCTCCCAAGGCTCTCGGATCTAGCTATGCAACAACAGATCTAAGCACCTGCACAGGGGATTGATTTAATCATCTCAGCGGAGGACGTCCACATTACCATCCCTTTTTTTACACACTTTTATTTAACCGTCTGTTGTTGTCATATCCTCAAATCTTGTAACCCAATTTTAACCCACTTCCCAATGTGGTACACTGCAAACTTGGTATACTTATGTCATACTGATGACAACACATATTCTATCATTAAAAATAAAACAAATCTTTTTAAACCATCTTTTTATATGTTATGTTTCGGCTTGGGTCTAATTGTCCACGCTCAACTGACGTTGGCTGTAAATCACCACAGCTCGTTACGTTATGGCAAGCTTCGGGGCCACTTCCTGGAGTCGTGGAGTTCTGCCATTACTCGTACGGTACATTTCATTAAAGTGTGTTTTAAAAAAAGTATTTTTAAACATAACTTTTTTGTTTACAACCGACCTGGGCACGCACGGTCAAATCCTAAAATGTAACAAACCAGGCCAGAGTGACGTCGCTGTCTGGGTTTCACATCATAAAAAATTTAAACTTCTTTTAGAGAGCGGCCAATTGTGATCTCCCGGCCTCCGCCGCACCACGCGATGGTTCAGGTCACCACCTATCGCGAGAACCAAAGTTCCTCGCGCACCCATTCACAAGTCACACACAACGCCAATAGCAACAGCTGCCATTCGCCACCAAGCGACGGTGACTTCACCACGGCGCCTGCGCCAGGCCAGGTGCACTTTGAGGCCAGATGAAGTGTCGAAGGCTCGCTGCTGACAGGAGGTCACCGGACAGTCATGCACACACCCAGCACGCAAGCACACACTCGTTACGGAACTGTCGCAACACGCCACTGCAGAACCCATCCTGAAAGAGCCTTGAGACTCAGTGAAGCCTTCCCAGGCAAACAGAGAACTATTTGAGGGGTCCTTATACGACGCACACAGCTCACGTTGGAGCGCATGTCGTTGTTTGGCGCAATTTTGAACCCACCACGTCTAACGTTGCACTCCACGTGCTCGGGAGCTTCTTTAAATTTCTGAAGACATTCCCCCCCCCATCGACCCCCACACCCCCCCCCCCCCCCCCTGAGCACTGCAAGAAGCTACCGGGGAGAGGGCATGGGAGGCGAAAAGTCGGACATGGTACCCGCAACGAACTGCGGTTAACGACCCCATTTGAGGGTCGTACGGCACGACCACGCGAACCCAAGTCAAGACTCGATTGGTTAGCATTTAGTCTCCGAAGCCCCGTTTGTACAGTCCTTGCTCCCTCCGTCGGCCTGAACGTAACACATACGCATGTGACGGGGACGTGAAATCCGACTCAAATAAAAAAAAACGTTCATCCGCACGCACGCCCTGGCGTGCTACGTCTGTCGATTGCTCGACGCATCGTTACATCTCCCCCCCCCACACCACTGGTCACCCAAGGTTGGACGGGTTATAGGCGGATATGCTGGAAAGGTCTGCGTGCACGTGAACATCCATGTAATGCGACGGTTTATGCCGCCATGCACAACAAACAGGTTACCGGACACAAATAAAGCGTGCGCCACGTCGGACGCCGGACGGGGTAGGGGGGGTAACGGGAAATCCTTCGTTGTGCATTAGCAGCCAATGCACACGAGATCAGCAACACGGCAGCGCACGTGACGAGGTCACATTTGCGAACATCCCGACAGAAGGACGAGTGGCGGCACACGCACTGAGGGCGCGGGCGGCGGCGGATAATTGGCCGGGCCGGATACGCGACGTTGTGCCGTAGGTCTCTCCGTCTCTCTCTGGCGGAACGGAACGTCCGAAGTTTTGGCGAAAACAAACGACAACAACAAGTGACCTAAAAACGGGGGGGGGGGGGGGGTGAGGTGGTTTAAGCACAACAAAAACACGCCGCTGCTGCGCTCTCAGCCAGCTGTGCTGCATACCCGCCGTGAAACCAAATGCTGACAAACCTCCCCCCTCACCCACACCACCCACCCCAACCTTCTATCGCTGTCCGCTGATCGTGAAAGAAAATCTCTCTGCCAAGGCAGCAGCAGCAGCAGCAGCGTGATAAGCACTCCCAGGAAGAAATCTGCAGAATCTCTTCAACGAAATAAACGCGGCGTTAGATTTCACAAACCAACCGATGGGGGAAAAGAAAAAACATTTCTTTTTTTTTTGGTTAAAAACCGAAAACGTTTGAGAAATGTTCAAGCAGCTGAAGAAATTCAATCCTCAAACTATAAGAGCTTTATTTTGGGTGAGATGGCGTGAATATAAATGTGTCGTAAAACCCACCACCACCCGAAACAGCCAATTAGTAAGGTTTGTCTTGTAAACAAAACATGCCAATTCATTACCAGTACAGCACACCGGTGTATGGAGAGTGAACCCACAACATTTACGATTTGAGTACAATGTTTCGCCGGTAATTACAACAGGCATCATCACGCGGCAGCCATTAATTTTGGAGAAATCCTCCTGTTTCGGTCTTAGAGGGATAAATGCGATGTCGTCACTTGTGAGCCAATCAGGTGCAAAGACCAGGGGGGGAGGGGGGTGGATAAATTCATATAAATTACAAAGAAACCTTGCAGCTCATTCCGCCGCATGCCGTTCGGTTCCTGAAGGAGCTCCCAATTCCAGAACGTCCAGCGAAAAAAGACTGAATTCCGCTCACGAGGAATGCACACCGACACTTTGGGGGGTGGGGGGGGGCAGGGCAGGTTTTTTCACCAACTGTGCGTACGAGGGTCGAAACGTCGGCGCGCCACGCGGTAGAAAACAAAAACCGCCCGGAAAACAAAAACCTTCAGAGCCGCGCGGCACAACCGCGCTAACCCCCCCCCCCCCCACGCAAACGGTTAAAACAAATACCTATTTTTGCCGTTACTTGCTTATTTTTCCCCTCTTGATATTCACTTCTACAACAACAAAAAATAGTGCCGGGAAGATTTACGTAAGAAGAGACGACCGCGCAGATTTCCATCGCCGTCACCGCCGGCGCTCGCGATGCGCGGATAACCCACCTGCGTGCTTGGAGGGCCTTGTTTAGGCTGCAGCTTTATCTGGAGCTTGATCTGCATGGGGGGCGGCTGCTGCTGCTGGTTGACGGGCCCCGCCGAAGACGGCGCTGCCCCCAAGCCCGGGTGGGGTAGGCCCTGCATGGGGGGCCCCTGGTGGTGGGGGCCCATGTGCGGGTGGAGGGGCCCCATGTGAGGGGGTCCCTGGTGGGGTGGGCCTGTGTGGTAGGGATCCTGATGCAGAGGGCCCTGGTGAGACATGCCTGGGTGAGGTGGCATCTGGTGAGGTGGCACCTGGTGGTGGGGACCCTGGTGGTGGGGGCCCGGGTGAGGTGGGCCCGGGTGAGGTGGCCCCGGGTGTGGTAGGCCAGGGTGAGGTGACATCTGGTGTGGAGACATCTGGTGAGGTGACATCTGATGAGGTGACATCTGGTGGAGGGGTCCCTGGTGAGGGGGGCCGGGGTGAGGTGGCCCAGGGTGTAGAGGCCCCTGGTGAGGTGGGCCATGATGTGGAGGTCCCAGGTGAGGACCCTGATGAGGTGGGCCATGATGAGGCGGTCCCGGGTGAGGGGAACCCTGGTGAGGAGGACCAAGGTGAGTGGGTCCATGGTGAGGACTCTGATGAGGACCTGGATGAGGTCCTGGATGTGGAGATCCTGGGTGAGGTGGGCCTTGGTGAGTCATGCCCGAATGAGGTGGCCCTTGGTGAGGGGATCCCTGGTGAGGACTCTGGTGAGGTGGTCCTGGGTGAGGTGGTCCTGGGTGAGGAGGTCCTGGGTGAGGAGGTCCTGGGTGAGGTGGACCTGGGTGAGGAGGCCCATGATGGGGGGGTCCCTGGTGAGGCGGACCCTGGTGAGGAGGGCCCGGGTGGGGACCTTGGTGAGGAGGACCCGGATGGGGGCCTTGGTGAGGAGGGCCCGGGTGGGGGCCTTGGTGAGGAGGGCCCGGGTGGGGACCTTGGTGAGGAGGACCCGGGTGGGGGCCTTGGTGAGGAGGGCCCGGGTGGGGGCCTTGGTGAGGAGGGCCCGGGTGGGGGCCATGGTTAGGAGGTCCTGGGTGGGGACCCTGGTGAGGTCCCGGGTGGGGACCCTGGTGAGGAGGTCCCTGATGGGGTGGCCCAGGATGAGGTGGGCCCTGGTGAGGTGGGCCCTGATGAGGTGGGCCCGAGTGGGCCGGCGCTAGCACAAATCGCTGGCCCGACAGCGCCACCATGCCACCGCCGCTGGAGGCAGGCTGAGGCCCAGCGGTGCCCACCATTGTCACCTGGCACACACGAGCACCGCCAAAGGTTGGGGACACCGGTAACGACCCCCCCCCTCCAACCCCACCCCTCCCCCCCCAGTGATCTATCTCTCCGCCGGTCACTGCATCCACATGCGAAGTCAAAACCTCCGCTGATTAACTCCCACGGGCACCGGAATCTCTGGTGGATTATAAGACGCAACTGCCCCCCCCACACCTCCCTACCAAGAAATTGTATAATCAAGTAATCAAGTTGGGGGGGGGGGGAGTGACTCTTACAATCCCGATAGGTAAGTACGACCAGACCTGTAGAACTTTAGCAACACCGGGAAGACGTTTTTAGAACCCATCTATGACCGCGGCAGTGTGAAACGGGAGAGTTGCATTCAGACGCTGCACAAATCTGAATTAAGCGGGGGAAAAAAACCCCATGAAAAGAACGGGCCCAGTTTCGAATATAAACAATTATAAATAAATCTAGATGATTTTTAGCACGTGCATTTTTTTAAAGTAAGATTTCTAGCAAAAGTTTGAAAACCTAAGTTTAACCAACTTGATATAAAAACGGACCTCAACGGTATAAAGTTATTCAGCACCAAGACGTTTAAAAGTGAGATCCATACAGGATATTTTAACAAAACTGTGACGTTGGTGCGGCACAATACTTGTGAGTGTAACGCCAGTGCCGTGGATTTAAATTGTTTGCCTACGTTTGCTAAAAAAAAACTCATCGACACCTGAGCAGTGCAGTGCCATACAAGCTGCCTTCAGTTTTTTTTTATCCAACACACCGTTACGGCGGCCAGCATTAAAATATCACGCCCACAGGGGTCACAGATAAGAGTGAACAGTTTCTCGAATTGGGCAAGGTTACGAATGGAAATTCGGGAAAGAGACAATGGGAGGGAATTCCAAAGTAGGACAGCGTGAGGGGAACAAGCAAGAAGAGTTGTGACCTGCAGTGCGGATGAGAGAGTGGGTGCGTGTGCAAGATTACCAGGGGGTGAGGGGTGTCCAGTTGTACCCCTGCAGTGTGAATGAGTGGGTGAGTGTGTAAGTGCCAGTGGGTGGGTGAGTGTGCGGTTGTACCCCTGCAGCGTGGATGAGTGTGGGCGAGTGTGTACAATTACGAGCGAGTGGGTGGGCGAGCATGCTGTTGTGACCTGCACTGTGGTGGTGGCTGAACACTGTTGTCTCATCCACCACAGTCGGTTTGGTAGAGAGAGTCCTCAACATGGGGCGGAGTGATCAGCCATCGGAACCAATCCACGGCCCCACAGATCCCACTTTCCGGACGTTACAAACCATCACCGTGTGCTCTCTCTCTCTCCCAGCCACGCTCGCAAGCATTTCATTAATTAATTCCATTCGTTCATCCATTCAATCACGGGAGGAGCTCACCTGTTGAGACTGCTGCTGCATAACGGGAAATCCGCTCGGTTGCTGGCCGGGTCCCAGTGGCTGCTGGCTTAGGCCTCCTCCCTTCATGGGGGACGCGCTGAAGTTTCCCTGAGTGTGCTGCGACTGTGGCTGGCTCTGAGGATTCGCAGTGTTCTGCATAGCCGACATTTGGTTCATTTGGTTTGGGTTCAGAGGGTGTACATTCATGGCCCCTTGGGCGTGCCGCAGGAACTGGGGGCTCCCGGGGCCCCCTACGAAGCCGTGGCCCGCCGGCGGCCCGTCGTGGCCCATTGCGCCCGGGTTGGCAGGCCTCTGCGGCTGCGTGGCGTACTGGTACGGGTGAGGGAACTGCCCTGAGTTGCTCGCACCATGGTTAGGGGGTGGCGGAGGCATGCTGTTCGTCTGACCCCTGACCGGATACTGCTGCTGCTGCGGTGGCGGCGCCCCCGGGGCCTGCATGTAGGCCGGTGGGCCACACGCCTGGTGGGGCGGCATCATGCCATGCGAGTGCGGCACCGCCACGCCGCCCATGTACGGGTTGCGGCCGTCCGGCCCGTACTGGTTCATCCTCTGCTGGGGGGGTGGCGGCGGTGGCCCCGGCCCCACAGGCGGATGAGGCCCACCTTGGGGAGGCTGCATTGGGCCCTGCTGCTGCTGCTGGTGTAAGGCATAGTCGTGGTGAGGTTGCATGTAGCTAAGCTGCTGCGTCTGCATAGTCGGCGGCGGATGTCCAACCTGGTGGTACGCATTGGAGTTTGGCGGAGGAGCAGGGGGCCCGCTGGCCGGGCCCTGCCCCCCCCACAAAGGGTCTGCATCCATGTAGGGTGGACACAGGCCGTACTGGCCGGTGGGGGGGTTGGGGTGGTACTGCGGGCCCTGAGGCCCCGCGATCCCGTTGCCCTGCTCCCCCTGCTGCGGGTACTTTCTGGGCGACTGATACTGCGCATACTGCTCGTAGTGGTGTAGCTTGTGCTGAGGCTGCTGCTGCTGCTGCTGTTGAGACTGCTGCTGCTGCATCCCACCGTAGCCTTGCTCCATCTGCAGCTGCTGCTCTAGGGGGTCGGCGGCAGCACCTCCACCATCGGCGAAGGCCTCGGCGCCAAGCCCCGGCAGGCTCTCTGAGTCGAAGATGTTGCCATCTTCGAAGAGATCCATCATAGGGTCGGCCATAATGCCCGTCGTCGTCGCAGTCCCTCTTCCTCCTCCTCCTCCCCACGTCCGCGCAGGTGGTGGGACGGCTCCCTCCTCTCCCTTCTCCTCCTCTTCCTTCCTTCGTCCGCGTCTCGACTGGCCTTCCTGCTGGCTCTGCGAGTCAACGGCATCAACGCCAGCGCGCAGGCCCCCTCTGCTCGCCACCGCTAAGCCATCATTGCTGGCCAAACTTTCTCGAGAGGTGACCGGGGGGGTGTGTGGGGGGCAGGTGGGGAGGTGGTGGTGGTGTGGGGAGGAGGATGAGGAGGTTATTTATTATTATGTTTTTGGGGAGGGGATGGGGAAGGGGAATCCCTCATCTATTTCACCGATTTCCTGCAAAGACAAGAAAGAGAAAGAACAAATAAACAACCGTGGTTTCATCTAATTTGTCGTTGTGCATCTTCCCTCGTCAACAACACCACCGCCCCCCCCCCCCTTCTTCCTTCGCTCAGGAAGCCATAAGATGAGGAAAATGTTTATGAATAATAAAAAGTGGCCCATAACTTACCACTTTGGGGGGACATTATGGAAATATTTAAGTGGCGGGCTGGTTCCGATAGGGGACAGGCAAGGCGTGTTTACACACAACAGATTTTCTTTCGTAAACAGACGCACAGCTAGAAGGGTGCCTCACAGACTTCGGTGTCCTTGATGCGGCGGCGGCCATCGAAAGGGAAGGGGTAAAACAAAGAGCATTTTAATTAAATTTTAAACGGGGTCCGCCAGACCAGTGCGGGAGATGGTGGCGGGGGGGGGCAGTCAGTGGCGGGTTAGGGGGGGCAAGTTAAAATTGCGAGGGGGGGCACCCACAATTGTATTTAAATGGAGGGGTGGCATTACTTTGTGAGGAAAGTGGTGAGGTGGGATCTGCAACCCCCCCCCCCAAGCCTTACAAAACAACCACCACAAGAAGTATGGCCCGTCGTGTTCCACCACGTCCCATGCCCCTTCGTCACAATCCCCCTCGGCCTGAGCCGGCTAGGATTCTCCGAATTTGACGACTCGGCCGTTCTCAAACAACAAAATTAGTTTGAGGTCGAGTCCCCACTCGTCCAAACCAACCGGCGTCACTTCCATCACCGTCGTCACCAACTCTCCATTTTCATGTGGACAGGCGATGGAACAGCAGCTGCCACAGCAGCAGCCTTATCACCCATCAGCCACCACCACCACTGTCAGCATCGGCAGTATCATCACCACCACCACCACCACCAACCACCAGTTAAGTGTGGAGACCTCCACACGATCACCATCAACTATACTATCAGCATCATTACCATCAGCGGCATCACAATCACTACCATCACCATCATTATCAGTCGGTGTGCAGGCGCCGGCAACACTTGGTCGGAACACAACGGTGAGCATGACCCCCATCGCGATCGTCACTACCGTGGCCATAAAGATGCATCACCAGCAGCAGCACCATCGCCAATGAGCGCCACCATCTCCAACATCGGCAAGGACATCACCACCACCATCGTCATGGTCCCCATTATCAGTTCAAACGCAGACAGGCCATCAAAGTCACCGAACACAGCAGCGACAGCAGCCTCGTATCAGCGCGATCACACATCACAAGTCATCCGTGTTCAAGAGCTTTACAGCTCATCGGATTCCTCCGGTAGAAATAAACATTCGGATCCGTTCAATGTGTGTGACATGCGACCCACACGCACAGAGACACTCGCTCAAACACAGCGGAGAAACGCAGCAGCAGCCTCAATCAACCCTCCACCGCCATCACCACAATCATCAGCAAGCACCGCGTCCATCAGCATCGTGATCATCATCATCATCAGCCAGCGGGGGGGGGGGGGGGTAATGCTGCTGCTTGCCGTGGCCCCCGTGTTTAGCGGGAAGAAGAGACGGAGGGGAGAGCGCGGAGAGGGGGACGCGGCGAGGTGCAGCAGGAGGCGGCGGCGGCGCAAACAAAAGCTGCCATTTTAGTGCCCTCAGCGCGGCGCGCAGAGACAGCAACAACAACAAACAACAACAACAAACACCACCACCACCACCGCCACTCTCCTTCCTACTCAACGCCGCGCTCACAACAACGCGTCCGTGTGCGTCGTCCACCGCTACAACCGTCGCCGTTACGATGTCACCTCGAGTCTTGTTGTTCGTCTTGTTATTTGACTACAAAGGCTGACGACCCCCCCCCCACTCCGGATCTTCCGTGGTATCCACTGGTCCCGCCGGGGTCCCTCTCTTCCCCCGTGTCGCTCCAAAGGGGACCCCCCCCCCCCGACTCGCCCCTTACCCCCCTTGACCCTATCCCTGGGGTCTGCCCACCGGCACCCGCTCACCGCGTCCCCTATCGTCTCCCCCCCCCCGCCTCGTGCCGACTCGCTTACCCCCATTTGACCCACTCCCTGGGGCCCCCTCACTCCCTGGGGTCCCCTCACTCCCTGGGCCCCCCTCACACCCCTTTCCCGACTCCCAGGAGCACCCCCAAGAGGTTCGTCACTCTACCCCCTCGACCCCCTCGCCCGAGCACCCCGCCACCCCCACCACCTCGTGCCCTCGAGGGTCTGTCCCCTACAGTCTTTGTCCGTCCGAGAGGACCCCTCGTATCGTCTCTAACCCCCCCTTACCCCCTTCATCCCAGTCCCCGGGGTCCCCTCGTGTCCCCTCGGGGGCGAACAAAGGCCGGTAGGCCCCGCGCCACCACGCCGAGCCTCGGATGGAGGAGGGGGCGGCGGTGGCCATGCCGGCCCGGCCGGGGTTAGGCCGGGGTCGTCCCGTCCGCGGGAAGCCGACCCCACTTGTAACTCCGTACCCCCCTTGATCCACATCCCCTCAATGCGCACTCTACCCCCATGGGCACGAACAAACCAGGGGTGGGGGGCTTAGAGAGTTGTGGGGAGAGAGGAGGAGGGGGGGGTGGAGGAGTGGAGTGGCGGCCCGAACACGTGCGTCTGTCAGAGCGCGACTCCCCCTCGCCTCTCTCTCTCGTCGCGCTCTCCACCCCCTCGCAGGGGAGACGAGGGGCTAGAGGACCCCCCACACACCCCTCCATTGGAGAGGCGAGCCGCTCGGCAGCACGGAGAGGCGGCCGCCCGGGGCCCGGCGAGATGGTCGCGAGGCGGAGCGAGCGGAGCGACGCGGACGGCAACAAAAGAGCGGCGGTCGAGGCGAGCGCCATTTGGGACACCCCGGGCGAGGAGGACGAGGAGATGGTGACGAGGAGGACGAGGAGGGGTAGAAGAAGAGGAGGAGGAGGACACGGAGAGAGACAGAGCAGAGAGCAAGTCGAGAGAGAGAGAGAGATGGCTCGGCATGGGCAGGAGGCGGCAATGGTGGGAGACGATGGGACACCGCACGGAGAACAGACGCGGGATGAGATGGGGCTACAAGAGTCCGGGTCGGGGTGGGATAGAGGCACGGCAGCGGTCCCGTCCGAGGGGGGCCGGGGAGCCAGGGCCCCCCTCACTGTCCCCGCAGGCGAAGGGACCTTCGTACCCCCCGCCGAGCCGGCTCGCTTACCCATGAGGGCCCCGGGAGGGCGAGAGGGCCGACGGACAGAGCTCCCAGGCGCCGCGCCGTCGGGAAGTTGGACGCGGGCTCTGGAGCCGGGGGGAGGGGCCGCGGGGAGTGAGGGGCGGGGGGGGGCTGTGGGGAGGGGGAGGGGCTGTGGGGGGGGAGGAGTCGGGTGGGGGGCGTGGTCACGTGAGCCGTTGTGGGAGGGGCTCGAATCTAATTAGATTTCCCAGAGCGAACAGGCGCCGCGGCCGACACTTCCTCCGATCACGTGGTAAGGCGAAACGTGAGATGATTGGACGAGGTGAGAGCGAGGGTGCGCGTGCGCTCTAGGGTATTTTAATTTGGGTCCGCCGAGAGGCGGAGGAACGCGGCGGGGGGGGGGGGCGTTAAGGGGCGGGGTTCCGGTTGTAGCGGGGGGGGGGGGTCTGCAACCGGAACCCCGCCCCTCACACGTGCGTCGCCGATTTAAAGTGCTCATTGTTGTGAGCACGTGTTGGAGAATTAATGGCAAGTGAAGTCCCTCGAACTTGATCAGCAGCCACGGTGGATCTGCTGCGTGATGAAGGCCTCTCCAAGCCGCCGCCGCCGCCTCTCACGCCGAAGCGACGGAACATGCCCGATGATACAGTAACTCGCAATGACAAGTAATTGACAACAAAGGACTTTGCAAGCAACGTATAATTATCAATCTATGTGCTAATCCCAGCGAGTGACATCTGGACCGGTTCTGCGTGTCATCCTCCCCCCACCAGCCCGCACTAACCAGCCCCATGAACGTAAATAACGTAGAAGATGCCTTCATCCAACAGTGGGTTGAGAAAGTGCGTCACTAAAATGTATCCAGAAAATCCTCGCAAGAGCCCTGAGAGGATGTGTGGCCCAATTATGTTTGACTTGCACGTGCATTGGCCAATTACTGACTGCTCATTAAGAGAGGCATTGGTAGCAACAACACGTACCAGCAACGAACAACATTAAACACTGACCCCCGCCATGAAAATGTAGAATTTCCACCATTCGCTCCACTCACTGTGGGATAGAATAACTCACCAGAGGGGCTCTCCAGAGCTCCCTCTACTGGAGGGCTTTCCGCCATAAGTGGCACAACGTTGAACGCGTGCCATGCACAGCCCCTTTGCCACTCCACTGCTGGATGAGGCCCTCCCACAAGTTTGTGCGGGGCGTGTGTGGTTCATTTGCCATTCTTCACCACGCCGGTCAGTACGAGTTGATAAAAACAAACTCTGAACAAGAATTCGTTTCAAAGGATCCTGTCGACCCCTGCTAAAGAGGAGGAGGAGGCGGGGGGTGGCGCTCTAAGGATCCCTTAAGCAACCTCCCCCCAACTCATAACAGCAAAGGACGCGAGCCACCACGGCACGAGAGGGACGCAGATTTGGAGGCAATTCGGCAGTGCCCAGTGGCCACCAAACACTAGAATCTTTGTTGCATAGAATGTCCTGGACGTGTTACTACCGCAGGGAGTTTTCTCGGTTGTGCTGCTGCACAGAAATTAAACGTGGTTTGTTTTGGGCTGTAGTGTGCCTCTCTCCCATGACCGCGTGTTGTTCCCTATGATTTCCGACGTTTCGCTCCATTCGCTGAAGGTTCCCAGCACGTTGAGCGAGACTTCAAAGGCACAAACACACGTGCGCGCGTCATTTATCACGCAGTGAAGAGACGATGGCGAATGACGAAACAAATGGTGAGGCTTTCGTCATCCAAAGTGGACGATAGCTCATGATGATGACAATCCTCCATCCAGCAGTGGATCGACCGTGGCTTGCCTACCGAAACAAATATCTAAAAATGAAATTGAGCGCACGAACCTTTACCAACTGCCTTCGCCTTCCAACAGCCGCTTGAAGCATAGTGTAATGAAGCGAAAATGAAAAGCAGAATGAAAGACGTGTGTTAGTTAACATGCCATAGCTTACACCTGTGGTTGGTGGTGAGTGGAATGAACGTTGAGGCGCAAGTGAGTTGGGGTGGTGGCCCCCCCCCCACACACGTGGGGAATGGTGGGCCTCGCACACACTGGGTTCTGAAACGGAGCCTCGTCCCGACCGGTAGCGCCACCTGGTGGCAACCGGGGCGCGCTGCCATCATCGTGGCGAAGACGACGCGCTCGAAAATCCGTGCTTGCCTCAACCTTTTTGGTATTATTCCCCGCTTCTCCCCCCGCATTCGCCACTAAAATATAACTAAGGTTACTGAAGACAAAATAAAGATAGCTCACGTGTCCACGTCTGTAGTCAACGCAGTGAGTAAAAGAGTGAAGGGAATTATATCATGAGGCTTTGCTTGTTAGATCGCGCAAATATAAATGTGTCGTTAAACCTGCCACCACCTGACACGAACAATTAGTAAGGTTCGTCACGTAAACAAAACGTGCCATTTCGTTACTAGTTCAGCACACCGGTGTGGAGAGTAAACCCACAACATTTACAATTCGAGTACGACGTTTCGCCAGTCATTACAACAAGCATCCTGCTTCGGTTGTTTTGTAAAATAAATAATTATTGCTATAAATATTTTTTATATCGTGCACCGGTATACCGCCAATACCTTAATTTGCTGATTCTGCTGCTGCGTTGGCAGTGTTGGACAAGCACACGTAACATTTAACCGTGACCTTAAAAATTAATATATAACGTTCGGAGGCAATTACCCATCCCCAGCTAAGGACAGAGAACTGACACAACAACGAACGGTGCGGCGGGGTGGATAAAACGCAGTGAGGTGGCACAGTTGGTAGCACAGGTGGTGTATCTGTTAGTCAACTCAGTCAACCCACAGATCCTGGGTCTGTCCCGTGACCTCCTGCTAGCAAGCCAACCTCGGCGTGTGAAAGACCCAGAAGATCTCTGTGGTTTAAATTTCCACGAAGCTGTTCATGGTCTACCGTAAACAGCATCCACTGCACTCACGATGGCAGATGCGGATACCTGATACACAAATGGAAAATGGAAAACTCTCCAGTAGTAGTGTGCGACTGTGGTCATCTAGAACAGACCGTAAAAAACATAACGACGCAATGACCCCGAAGGAGACATCACAGCGATGATGGACTCCGCTGCTCTTGACATGGTTGGCTGGGCTTCACCAACCTGAATTGTGAAATTGTAGTCATTGCTCTGCATCTACATCAGCCCTGCGGAAGAAGAAGACTTGACGTGGCCTCGGAGTGCACCTAGCCTGGCGCAAGCGCCGTGGTGACATTACTGCCACTTGATTCTTGGCGAATGGTTGTTATTGTGTTTGTGAGAGCGAGCCCACGTGTGTACGTGAGTTAGAGGCCGACCGAAACTGAATTTCTGGTTTCGGCCGAAACCGAAACCAGACCGAAAGTAAAAAATTTACTTTCGGCCGAAACCGATAGTTTAACTATACTTTCGACCGAGACCGAAACTGAAAGTTTAACTACACTTTCGGCCGGAACCGAAGCCAAAACTGAAAGTTTAACTACACTTTCGACCGAGACCGAAACACAAAGTTTAACTACACTTTCGACCGAGACCGAAACAGAAAGGTATATAACCGAAGTTACCGAACACAAGATTTATGAAATATGTCGTGATGCAATGCGACTTTAATAAAAAATAAATCTAGAACTAATCATTCAGAGCCTGCAGTAAGAGTCGCTAAATAGCAAATCTTTAGGTGTTACTTGCTTAGTAATTACATCCAAACAAACGAATGTTGTAGTTAAGAAACAACAGTTTTTCCGCATTCAGCCAGACAGTCTGTCGTCTGTTGAGCGGTCGTATATACATTAGCAGACCGTGGTTGCGGCTGTCACCTCGCTCCCAAGCTGCTGCTGCTGCTGACGTGTGTGTGTTTGCAGCCTATCGCACAGGATTGCCTAGCGCCGACTGACCGGCCGATAGGCAGAGTGATAAACGTAGCACTAGCGTTATATTCTAAAAATAGATCTTCGGTTGACGAATGACGACCGAAAGTCAATATCAGTTTCGGCTGAAACCGAAACCAGACCAAAAGTAAAAAATTGACTTTAGGCCGAACCGAAAGTATGCCGAAAGAGGCCATTTGCCAACTTTCGGCGCCGAAACCGAGGGTCGTGGCCGCGGTTGAACGGGAAGCGAGGTCGGATGACTCGTGGATGGAACCGTTGTGTGTGGGTAATCCGGATTTGTCGTGGGAGCAGAGGGGCGAGTTGCAGGCATTGCTTCGGGAATTCTCTCTCAGCGAGCGCTGGCCACGTTCCAGCGACTTATGGAGTTGGTACTGTTGGGGCTCCAATGGAAGTCATGTCTGATATATTTGGATGACGTGATTGTCTTTGGACGCACGTTCCAGAAACATCTGCAGCGGTTGCGTGCGGTATTGTTAAAATGCGGGCGGCTAATTTGAAATTCAACCCGCAAAATGTTACCTCTTGCAAAAGTCGGTTCGCTACCTGGGTCACATTGTTAGCGAGTCCGGGATCACCACGGACCCGTCAAAGACTGTGTGCGTGAGTGGCTGACCCCCACGATTCGTGTCGTATTACTGCCGCTTCGTGCCCGAGTTTGCGACGATCGCGAAGCCGCTCCACGCTCTCACGGCGAAAGGCCAGAGGTTTTGGTGGGGAAGGAGGAGGAGGCCGCATTTGTCATGCTGCGCACCCCCCTTCAGTACCCCGATTTCTCCTTGTCGTTTACGTTGGATACGGACGCCATTGATACCGGGATTGGCGCCGTGTTGTCGCAGGTAGAGAACGGGGTGGACATTGTGGTCGCTTATGGTAGCCGAGTACTGTCTCCCGCAGAGCAGCGCTATTGTGTTACGCGCCGTGAGTTGTTGGCTATCGTACACTTTGTGCAGCAGTACCGCCCATACCTCTACAGTAGGCAGTTCATGGTACACACAGATCACGCGGCTTTGCAATACGCGCTACGCTTTGACTAGCCGTCCATGCAACTCTCGCGATGATTAGAAATCCTGCAAGATTATTCGTTCGTAGTCACCTATAGGAAAAGGGTTGCGCCATTGTAATGCAGACGCTTTGTCACGGTTATCGCCGAAGAGCCAGTGCACGTGTGTGGTGGGCACCGGCCGTTGTAAGCAGGTGGATGCGGGGGAGCCGGGCGCTGTTGTAG